TTTCAGCCATCCCTGTCTGCACCACTGGTAACACAGTCCCCCCCCCCTCCTGCTCCCCCCCCCTCCCGATCCTCTCCACTCCCTCTCCTGCACTTCACTCTCATCCTCCTCCCCATCCCACTATCGTCTCATCTACCTTGCATTCACTTCCTTTGTTGAACGACATTGCAGGAGCACCTTCACATCTCCTACAGGAGATGTAAGTGGCAGATGCTCTACAGCTCAGCCATCCATGGCGCGAGCTGCGCCACACTACTACGGTCTCCCTCCTCCTCCCCCCCACCCCTTGTCTTGTCCCTCCCTCATCCTCCCTCATTCCCCTCTCCCCCCTCCTCTTTCTCCCTGTCTCCTGCTTCCCCTGCCTCCTTGTCTTGTTCGTCGTCCTCCTGACCGTCTCCGGCAGGTGTGCCAAGGGAAGGAGCCCCTGCTTTCTCCTCATCAAGGACATGAACAGTCATGTTTGCAGCAGCACCCCGCCCTCCCGCTCCTCGTTGATTCCTCTTCTCAGGTCTTTGGAGCTTTCCTCCCCACGCCCCTTGTCAGTCAGAAGCAACACTACGGTGAGTCCTCCACTGCCCTCGGACGCTGAAGGATGAGGAGTGGAGGAGAAGGAGCAAGGGAGATGCGAGGGAGATGGGGGAGAAGCGAGGGAGATGGGGGAGAAGCGAGGGAGATGGGGGAGAAGCGAGGGAGGGGGGGGAGAGAGCGAAAGATGACGATATGATTGTTTTTCAGGGGACCAGAACTGCTTCATCTTTTCTTTGCATCCTTCCTTCAGGTAGAATGTCTCCCTCTTCCCTCCTCTCCCTTCCTCCCATCCTCGTCCTTCTTTCTCCAGCCTCGTCCTCTGAACCCCCTCCTCTCGTTAATCCCCTTCCTCTCCGTCTCCTCTCTGTCTCACCACTTTTGCTTCTTCCTCCCAGGGTTTACGGGAGCAAGGGTACCAACACCCACTTTCTCCTGAGCTCCGAGAAAGGAATCTCCTTTGGGGGGCTGGTCAGCGGCAGCGGCAGCAGCGCGGTAGCATGACAGTTCCCTCCCAGAGGAGACCTGACGGGTGCACAGGGGATCGGATTGGATAGCGACTTGCTGCAAGGAACGTCTGAAGGTATTCGAAGGGCTCCTGTTCTCCCTGGACCCTGCTCTTCTCTGTCTCCTTCCCCTCAAATCCTCCCCTTCCTTCTTTCCTCTGCTTCTCCCCCCTGCTCTAGCCCCCCCCCCCCCACACGGCCTCCTCTGCGCACCTCACTGACCTCGTCGGGTAGCTTGCATCACTTACGGCAACCCGGGCACGTTGGCGAGCAGTGAGACCTTCGCCTGCTGGAATGTGAGCTTGAAACTCTCCTCGCCCTCGTCCTCTTCCTTTTCTTCCTCGTCCTTTTCCTTGACAAGTGCTAGGTGGAAGTGTGGGCGCTTGTCCGACCGGCGGCAGAGACGTTCACTGACAGGTCTGACCCTTCCACCTCCCCCAGCTGCTGACGTGCTGGTCCTGCCGCAGCGTCGACGCCGCCAGCCTGCTGGGCAAGTTCACGTAGGGCGGGGGAAGCGAGAGGACGAGTTAATCTTAGATTGTACAGTTTTTTTTCCCCTTCTCACCCGCCGCCTTCTTTGATCTCAACCGGGGCATACTATCATAGCCTCAGCCTTGTAGTGACATTCTGCCGCTGACGCCAGTGGGTGGGACTTGAACTTGCGATCCCGGCGTGATGCCAGTCACCGGGGCTGAGGAGTCCAACTGACGCTCGGGCCCTAGACGTGGCCCGACCCGGCACATGCCGCCACTCAGCCACTCCGCTGCGACTCGCCCGGCCCGGCCGGGTGGCCCGGCGCCCGGCGCCTCCGATCGGAGTCTGAGCGACACTTGCAGTCCCAAGGCAAAGGCTGGTCAAAACTGGTCAAACGAGACTGCCATGGCGCAGCGTACAGCCGCATGGCTGTTGATCGTCATGCTGGCACAGATGAGGGGAGAGGCGACTGAGGTAGACGACATTGAGGACAAGCTTCATGCTCCTTGCTTCATGCTGCTTGCTTCATGCTCCTTGCTCCTCCTTGCTCCCTCCCCTTCCCTCCTCCTTTCTGATGGTCTCCTGGCTCCTCCCCATTTACTCCTTCATCCGATTTCTTGGTGTCCATCTCAGCATCGTAGCAGGACTTCACTTCTTCCTATTCTCCTCACTTTCTGCGCCTCTTGCTGCTGTCTTCCTCATCATGACGGTTCTTCCAGCCAGAGGACATGCTGGTGAAGGCGGCTGGTTTGTACAGCCATGGGAGTATGGCTGAGTGCGTGAGGGTCCTTCAAACGTCAATAGAGCAGGACAAGGACCAGGCTCTAGCTCATCTCATGCTGGGACAGGCGCTCCGCTCCCTCCAGCGTTGGCCGGAGGCGATCGATGCCTTCCTGGCCGTGAAGCGATGCACCGCCCCGGTCGGGGTCGAGGGAGGAGGTACCGAGGGAGGTGAGGGAGCAGGCAGGGATACACCATGGCAGGGCTCTGATGGAACTCGATCGGTGGGAGGAGGCCATTGCTGCCTTCGAGGAGACTTGGTCGCGACACCCTGAGTCCTCGGATGCTCTCTTCCGCTTCCTCTACCTGCAGCATTTCGCATGCAACTTCACCAGGTGACCCATCGCCTCCTCTGTCCTCACGATGTCCTCTGAGTGCCGCGAGCAGGCGCGATGAACTGCTCCTGACAGCGAGGAGGAGGCTTGTGGAGGAGCTCAAGGTGGCAGGCAGGAGCGCCATGACGCCATCCCAGGCGCTGATGATGCTCGACGCGCGAGAGCTGAAGCTGCTGGCCAAATCGTTTGCTCATGGGCACATCGTGGAAGGTAAGAGGACGAGGACTTGCTCGCTCCCGCTCACTGTCTTCCTCACCAGCCCTGAGGGACAACAAGGAGGGAGTCTGGCAGTGGAGCTTCGACTCTGAGGTTGGCTGACCTCTAGCGGAAGGGGGATCGTGACTCCTCTCCCGTCAGGTACTTGGAGGAGCGGCGGTGCAGGGCTGGTTCGCCTACTCTCCTGCTAGCCTGCTGCTTGTTGACGGTCGGCTGCGCGTGGGGTACGTCTCGAGAGACTTCACCTTCTCGTCCGTCGGGCAGCTGCTGCCCAGGCTCTTCAGCGCGCACAACAGGAGGAGGCTCGGGGTGTTCGGGTACTCCCTCAACCAGGACGATGGGACAGAGACGAGAAAGGCAATTCTTGCGGCGGTGGAAAATTGGGTGGACATGAGGTCGGCGGGGAGCGGGGAGCTGGCGAGGAGGATCAACGAGGACGGTATCCATGTGCTGGTCGACCTAGGAGGGCACCTTTGCGTCACGAGCCAGCAAGCGCTGGCGCTGCAACCTGCCCCGCTCGCCGTCAACTTTCTGTCCTGGCTGGGAACGTCGGGGGCTCGCTACGTCCAGTTCTTCCTGTCCGATGCTGTCGCCTCTCCTGCTGAGTTTGCCTCCGATTTCACCGAGAAGTTTGCGGTGCTCCCGATGTCGTATCAGGTGGGAGGAGAGAAGGTCAACGGGGAGGAAGGAAGAGGAGAGAAGGGCTCACGGGATGGTGGTCGTGGTGGTGATGGCGATCATGATGATGATGATGATGATGATGATAATGATGATGATGATGATGAGAAGCAGGAGGAGTAGGAGTAGGAGTAGGAGGAGAACCATGAGGAGAATGTGGAGGAGGAGGAGGAGGAGGAGAATGTGGAGGAGAATGTGGAGGAGAATGAGGAGGAGGAGGAGAAGGAGGAGAAGGAGGAGGAGGAGGAGGTTGTGGAGTGGTTGAGGGAACTCAGAGAGGGGCAGGTGAACTCCAACAGGTTCATGCACAGCCACCACCATCACAATAAGAAGGCCAGATACACGCTGCTGCACCCTTACGGCCAAGTGAGGGAGGGGAGGGAGGGGGTGGAAGGGAGAGGGCAGGGGAGGAGGAGAGAGGAGGGGAGAGGGAGAAGGAGAGGAAGGGGGAGAGAGAAGGAGAGGGGAGGGGGAGAGAGAAGGGGAGGGGGAGGGGGAGAGGGAGGAGCGAGGAAGTAGAGTTGCAGTGCATTGACTCTTGTTTGTTCAGGATATCCTGCCTCCCTCTATCGACCAGGAGAATGTTGTGGTACAACGAAAGACGAAATTGTTAAGGGGGGGTGGGGAGAGAAGGGAGGTGGAGGGGGGGGGGTGAGGAAGAGGAGACGGAGCGAGAGTGGAGGAGGAGGTAGTGGACGTGGTGGATGTGGTGGAGGAGGGAACATGACTGTGACGGGGAGGATGCTGCGTAGTGACTTTTGACTTGAGGTTTATGCCAACTTCAATCAGCTCTTCAAGATCAACCCCGAGACCTTTGAGGCATGGATGAGCATCCTAAAGGTAAATCTCCCTTCCCCTCTCCCACCTCCTGCCCTTGTCCCTGTCCCTGTCCCTGTCCCTGTCCCTGTCCCTGTTTCCTTCTCTCTTCTCCCTCCCTCCGCTTCTCTCCTCTCGCTCCCTTCCCACCATATTCCCTCCGCCTTGCTTCCCTATCTTCTCTCTCGCCTCGCCTTTCTCCCCCCTTTTTCCTCCTTTGCTGGTATTATTGAAGTTTCTTGCAAGAAAACTCCCAACAGCGTCATCGCTCTCTTAAACATCACCGGCTCCCCTCTAGGTCCCTGTTGTCCTCTCCATCCCCTTCCCTCTTGTCCACCACTTCTTCTCCTCTGTCCCCCCCCCCGCCCCCCCCCCTCCCCCCCGCTCCGACGTCTTCCCCGGCTTGGATTCACCGCCTCCTCTCCTTTCTTAGTCTCAACT